ATTTTTGAACAGTGATATGATGGGAAATGTGTGGTTGAAAAAGAAGAAAAAATTATTGATGTGATGGAAAATATTATTTTATTGAAAAATGTGTGATTGAAAATGAGAATTGATTTACTGTAGAAGATCAAAATCCATACCAAACAGGCTCTAAAAATATAATTTTAATTCTCACCAAACACCCTTTAAGATAGGTTTTTTCAAAAGTACTTTGTATAGTGCCAAACGTGACCTAAATGTGTCGAATACCCATGATAAGGCAAGACGACTAGTTATACCATAACACTTGAGTATTATGACATAACAGGCAAAAATACTAGGACTGAGCCTAATGAATCTCCAAATTTTGGAGATCTTAAGCATATTTAGGATTTGTTTGATATAATTTTTGAAAAGTTAAAAGAGTTTTTGGGATTCAAAAGTTAATTTTTGATTCCGTTAACTAATTTTGTTAAAGTACTTTTGATAGTTATAAGGGCTTTTAAAGGAAATTGATTTTGGGGGTGTTTGAGCCACATTAATTTGGAAGAATGTATTTTGAAATAGTAAATTGATGGAGAATGTGTGGTTGAAAAAGAAGGAAAAGTTATCGATATGATGAAAAATATTATTTTATTGAATAATGTGTGGTTGAAAATGAGTATAAGAATGACGTCTACCTTAAATTTCAAAGCACTAGTAGCAGTGGTGGAGGTACAAGAGCGGGGGTTGAGTATCCTCACAACATTATGGATTGTTTAAATTTTTTTATTGTCACCAAAAATGCATTAAGTCACTAGCTCCAGTCTGGTCGCGATTATCCCAAGATTTTTAGTAATATTTTGAACGTTATATAGTGCAGTGGATCCTAATTCAATTGTAATTGTTGAATACTTCCTTACCAAACAATTTTAGTGGAGTGGAAAGTGAGCGCTTAACCCTTTATTTTTTCCATTCGAAAGTCCGAGCATTTTTGGAATTACAAATTAAAATCATTACGGCTGATTTTCTTTTTTTTTTTTTTGTGTCAACAATTGCGGTTGAGATCGGATCCCTTGAACTATATAACGCTCTAAATATTGTTAAAAGTGCAGGACGTGTTCAGTAGAGATTAAAATCAGATTAAAATTGAAAAATTAATCGTTATTTTTTATTTTTATTAGATGAGTGAGACACAATAACAGATATATTTTTAATTTTAATTAAATGTTGAGCACGATTGAACACGCCTTCTAATTTTATTCTTTATAAAATAATTGTTTTCAATTAATATAATTTGTTCAAAACTTACTCATAAATAAATATATATTAACTAAAAAATTTATTTATAAGCAAAAAAAGTTACTTTATAATTAAAAGATTTACT